TCAGTGTTTTAACAACATTGATTCTGAGCCCTTTGGTGGGACAGTTATTAACCATTTGAAAATGTACTTTGTATATTTTAGACATTTACAAAGTAATTTTTCTTCCCATTTTTTAAGCTGTGAATCGGAATTGATGATAAAATCTTGATGTCATTCAAGTGATTAGAATTAAAATACATTTCAGTGAAAATGGTTCTCATCTGGATGCCTCCCTTCTCAATGCAGAATTAAAGCCTTCTGATATCAGCCAATTTTTTCTGAATGTATCAAAGATTGAAATTATCTAATACCTTCTAATAAACATCTTGCAATATATAGAGTCTTTGGGGGGCAATATTTTGAGTTAGAGAAACTGCAGTCTCATTTCTTAGTATAGTCAGTTCCCATCCAGTGTGTAAAATATCAGTGTGGAATGCTTTATCTTTATTGAAAATTTCTATTCTTTGAGTTTACATTCATTTTGATTATTTTCTCACCTTTATTTGTCAGTTGGCCAGGACTATTCAGTTCTGACATTATTTGGTTTTAAGGTGTGTTTTTATTAAATTGACAGCTGATACCATGGTTGTTGAGTATCTGATGGATCAACAGGGATAACTAACAATTACTTATCACCACTTTCAGATCATTTTTTCACAGATTAATTGACTTCGACAGATGTCATCTTACACTTCACTTGAGTACATTCCAGAATTCTTACAAATTGGCCCAATTTGCATATAAAATGCAATCAAGATCTATTCCTGAGTATATTTCTTAAACATAGGACTTACACATGATTTCTAATTTTGATCATTCCAATTCAATGTTTGTAGCATGATATTTATTGATAATTCTTCATAATATACATTTTAGTAAAGATCTTGGCAAGGTTATCATTATTCTAAAAATCACTTTCCATATTGGAAAAAAAATGACTCCTTGATAAACCTTGAAAAGAAGATGTTTTACACTTTACTTCAGTGTTAAGAATGAACAAGCGTTTGGTTAGTATTGCATTTTTCTTGACATTTTAAAGAATAAGTTTTGGGTTGAATTTGGCAGCTTTATTTTCGAGAGATTTTTTTTGTTGCTTTTTTTATATATTAGAAATTAGAATTAGAAATTCTCTCTAAAGTGAAAGACTTTCTGTTAATTGGTGAACTGTGAAAGTGTGAAAGCATAAGTAGTGCTAGAAACAAGAAGAATGGAAAGTGAACACTAGGTGGGCATTTTATTTACACTGTTATTTTTGGGATGTCTTGGTATAAATTAAGCATGTAACCAAGACTGGATAAAATAAAATTTTTAAAAATATTTATTGGATACTTTCAGTTCATGAGAAATTGCTTTTAGTGATCACGCATGTGAAAAGTTCTTGTCTAAGTGCCATCTTGAAGCAGCTGCTGAGCACAGTGGTGCTTCTAATACAGCCAGAGGAACTTGAGGTGTGCTACGTACTGCCAGTGGCAGGCTAATTTGACTGGAGTGATTCTTTCCCATCCTTTCAGCAATGCTGTGCAACTTGAATCAGGAGGGCAGTTTAGAAAGACATGAACTGAAGTGCTAGGAATGAGTGAGGAGCTGCCAAGCCTTCAGAGTAGTGACTTCCCTATTCACATAATGTGTAGATTCAGCATTTCAGAAATCTCAGGAAAAATCAGGAAGTATTGAATGTGACATTCTTGATGTCTTTAGGCCTTTTTTAAAAAATAGAATTTTTTTTTTTTTTGTCCCTTTGGAATACTATTGATAGCAATATTCTTTCATTTATCTCTGTGAATTATACTTAATAACAATAAGCAACTTGAAGCACATGTCTTGTACGTGAACTGTGAATAGCTTGTCTGTATTTATAATATATATTGTGCTTGTCTGCGTATGTAATAATGACTTACTGGTTTGGTATGAAATTTATTGCAGTTAGAACCTTAAGAGAAATTTTAGCATTTGCTCACTACACTGAAAGTATGGATGCAGATTTAATATGTACTGTAGATTATTAATATACTGCAAATTTTGTTGTTTACTTTCTGAGAACTAAGACTGATATTTGAAACAAACCTTACGTTGATATATATTACTGAGAAAAAGAAAACAGTCTGTGTGATATATTCCATTGCAAGCTAACAATAAACCAAGATGCTAATAATATCTGTGCCAAACTGAAAGCTATGAACAAATTCTGATGTTCTTAAATGACTTCAACAGAAATGAAACTAGTATAGAAATTAAAAAATATCCTGTATGTGATTTGAATTTTATTTTAAATTGCTAAGTTATTCTGCCCTTACTACTGAACTGTTACTGTTAATGATTACCGTAGCAGAACTGTTGGCAATAAAATATTAAAATGTATGAAATTGCATTTTCAGGAAAATTGGAAAATTTGTCAGTGTAAGGGAAAGATGTTGCATATAGGTTTACACACTAGTTTAATGAACCATACTGTCATTTTTTTCTTAGGAAGGATAATGGCAACTGTTAAGCTACAGTGCTGCTGTTTGTTGTGTAGAGCATGAAGACTTTGTTTAAAATTTAAAATTGTGGCTTTCATCGTTTTTGTGTCTTAGTTTCTTATTTATATCTCAAAATTTTAACATTCTTTTAAAGTGTGTAGACTAAGTCAACAGAAAGGGAAGTGAGAAATAAGACTTACACAGCAGATTGTGCCTTAATGCTTCTGGTTTATATTTGTGATTGCATGTCTTCACCTTCACTGCATGTGACCATCTCTCTGTTTCTGCTCATTCTGTCCAAATTTACATCCATGTTTCCATATTTTGTGAAGAACAAGGACGCTGGAGTCTTGCATTCCAAAACAGGACAGTGTAGACCACCTAAGTGCTAAACCTGGAGCAGCACAGAGGTATCCTTATTTACTCAAATCATAGTTCCAAGTAAATGAGTTATTGGCTATAGTTACACACTATGAGTATCTTTCTATGCCCTGCATAAAACTTTTAAATAGCTAGAGTTGTTTTTTTTTTTTCTCTTTTTATGTAGAAGTACATGGTATGCATGTATTGTTCATAGATAGTATTTAATTCCTTATGAAGTACATTGTAGAGGTAAATTCAAATATGGCATGAACATCTTTTTTATCCCCTATGCACTCTTAGTACATTTGATATGGGCACGAAAGGGCGCCTGCCTGCAGTGCCCATGTAGGAGTGCGAGAGCTGTGCCGAATGCACACAGCATCATCTCAGCAAAAGGAAAGAAACAGAGAAAATCTTAATCATATTTTTAACACTTGCTGCTTGCAGTAACAGCACATAGAGCAGAGAAATAAGTCTGTGCAGTTCACTGGCACTGTATATTACATTTTCTGCTTTTTCATACTACAAAGAGTAGTCACTATGTACTATTTTTCTTCATTGTACTTAATGCCACGGTGTCAGTGAGTGACGTAAAGGAGTAAGGGGAAAATAAAACCCTTAATAAACCAAACAGAAAGTAAAAAGGGTGGCATCATTTGGAAGATCATGCTGCATTCTGTGGATCATACATTCAAATACTTTGCTCACCTTAGGTTACCTTAGGTTTTAATTGAAGCTATATGTATTTCGTATGTGTTTCCTTGTGTATCTACCTTGTGTTTGACCTGGCAAAAGCATAAATAATGAATGGGAATATATTCCAGAAAATAAATCTGGTGAAATCAGTTTGGTGATAAAGGAGATTTAAATTTTTATTCCAAGAGATTATTTTTTTTTACAAGAAAATGTTATTTTGAAAACTGGAAGGCATTGGGTATTCATATGTGCTCCTTTAAAAAAAAAAATCACAAATGTGTAAGAAAATGCACATTACATATTTCTGCATTTTTTCCTTTTTTGTGACTCAGACTGTGTCACGCTGTAATGCTGATCAAATATTGCAGTGAAAATGCACTGTGATTATGTTCTTTGAATATAAGCTGATGCTACAGCTGTTTGGATATCTTCCAGTTCAGTCACTGGGTTACTCTTTGTATAAGCACTAAGGTTTAAAACCAAATCTTTCAAATCTCTATTTATTACTATATATTTTTTTATTTTTTATTTATTTATTTTCCCACAATAATCCTTTTATACCTTAATATAGAAGTTGATTATATTATTATATTATATGTAAGTTTCTTACATATTTCTTCATTGTCTTTCCTGTGTGATGTGCAAGTAAGGGTTGGTACTTTACATGATCTAACAATGAATAATCATCACTCCCATTCTTTATCCACTCCTGAAATACTGTACGCACTTTTTTCCCCCTAAAAACTAACTGTTCATGATTAACAGACGTTTAAAATTAAAATTATCAATCCTAATTTTTAAATGTTCTCATTACTTTGGTAATAATAGAAATTTTGAAATGTGAGACTTGTCACTATTTCCATAATCTAATAAATAAATAAGCTTCTGATATATTTCCATTAATTAGAAAAAAAAAAAAAGCAGAATTGTTTCAAACTGTTTCTCATAATCTTTTAACAATTTTTAATAGAATGAAATTTTTGAAAAGCCAAGTTTTTGTCAATACAGTGTACATCAAATAACAGAGTTATGTGAATCTGACATGATGCATTATTTATCTTGGTTTGGAAATACAGATTTAAAAGCAGATTTTAAAGTTTCTGTTTGAATATTATTGGTCCTTTCTGTAACATTTTTTCTTCCTACTGTCAACTCTGCTTTTGTTATAGTGCTATCAAGAGAGCACTAAAAGGCCTAGGAGAAGCACTCTATCTAATCAGACATGCTTGAAATTCGAGCTAGTGGCATGTCCAGTCAGGATTAATGTCATCTCCCTGTTTTGGTACCTCTTAACCTTCACACCATCAGCCTCAGTCAAAGCTAATCAGGGCCATTTGTTTTAATCCCCAAGTTCACCAACCTGTTCATGAAGATAGCTGTCACTTTTTCATCTGTCAGCCATTCCTGTTATTACTTTAACAATACATTAATAAATATAAGATCTTCATTGTTTTGTATGTTTTTCTTCTATGTTTATTTCTTTTCTGACTTGTCATTCCGCAGGCAATCCAGAAAAGTGGAAAGATATAGCAGCCAAAAACAAACTAGGAAAGGCTCTGCAGCTGAAACAGAAAGGTAGGATTGATGAGTAAACATCTCTTATGATCAAACTTATTCCAGTGTTCATAATATACATCTAATACTTCTTTTGAAGTAGAGTATGCATAACAATGGCATAAGCTATGTTGCCATAATTTACAGAGTTACTTATAGCATCCATATTATTATCACTGCTTCTTGTGTTGTCAATAAAATACAGTTTTTCTGGCAGTCTCCATCATTGCAGATTAATGGGGAGGTAAAGACTAGCAGTCATACATTTAGTAAGCCAAAGTATGACACCACTTGTTGCCACTGTCTTGATCTCTGTAGGATGAAATTTGGAAATGCACAGCATATTTCATTAGTATGGTACTAACCCTTTTCTGTGTTTTACCGTACATGTTTTTCAAAGCAATTGTCTGTGTTAAAATAACTTTAATGATGAGAAGAATACATGAGGAGACTGATAATTCAAGAGGTATCTGATCAAATGATGAAGAAAGAACTACACTGAAATCACACTCCTATATATTCCAAGCTAGCAATTTCACATTTTAATATAAAGATGTTAAATTTTATATATAAATATGTTGAAAAACTCTGTAAGCTGTAAATACATAAAGTTAATATGAACACTGACACTTTACCTTCTGCTTCCACTGAATTTTCTTGTGCTTGCATTATTATTCTAACTTTCAGCTTTTACATTGTAGCAGCAAATGCTTATATACCCAAATTCTTAAGAACAATTGGAAGAAATAAGGATAATTGCTTAATTATGAATGTATGAGTATTAAGCTTGTGTGTTGGCTGAGCTAAGAGCAGTGAGGAGGACTGAGATCCTGCCTTTTCCAGAAGAAGATTTGTGTTTTCTTGATGAGCAGAGGGGCTCATCTGTTTACATTCTGACAATTGAGAAACTTCCATGAATAACACAGACACATTATATTTTCAAAGCAAATACACATTATTTAGAAAAAAAATCAGAGCTTTTATTTTATTTTACTGCTTCAAGGACCGGATTATTATTATTTTGGTCCCAGCAGCAGTTTATTTCAATTTAGACCAGGCATATCACCAGAGTTATGGCTGAGGTCCTTGCTGTCTTTAAAACAACAGTTTTGCCTTTCAGTTCATTACATCCATATTTGTCCCTTTTTTTAAGTTCTGAAAACTCTTGGGACTAAGACTGCGGTGGTCTCAGTTGTTGGTAATCATGCAGGCTGAAAGGTTGTAAAAACCTTGGCAAGAGGCTGACAAGGAAGAAAAGATGAGAGTTGGATATAAAGTGAATGGGGTGGAAAATACGGAAACGCAAGCATTAAATGGACATGGGAACATAAAGAGTAGGGAAGGAAAATGAAATGTAAGAGATTCTAAAGAAGGACAGTGTAAAGAGAGTGGAAGAAATTGTCAGATAAAAGGAAATCCCGTAACATATCAGGTTGGAGGAATTAATGTATCTGTTTGTATGTACATTTACATTTCTAATCTGGTATTTCAGCATGTGAGCTGAGTGATCTTCCTTCTACAGATGTCAAGATCATAAAATACATACTTCACTAAATCCCATGGGTTTTTTTTAATAATCTCATTGTATGGCTGGTGTGGATTATAATCTTGAAACTGAATTTCAGATATTTTTTTCTGATAGGAACTGATTTGCAGGAACTGTTCTTATGAGGTATTATGCTGAATACATTAACAGTGCATGACTTTACCTCTAAACGTGTAGTTACATTTATGAAAATTGTTTTTAGAGGCATGAGCAATGTGTTTTTCTAATTAAAATCACCAGCCTAGGTCTGAAATTTTGAGTTTTTTTTTTTTTTTTCCTGGATATATCAAAACTTCTTACAGTTTTTATGCAAGATATAACATACAATTGAGGATATGTTCAGATATGTGGGAAAGAGCAAGTCTGGAGATAATGGTGAAATGTTGCTAAGTGTGTATATATACAGAATTGATATGGAATTTAATGATTTCATACGTTAGTCATTGCTGTGCTGAGATAAATTCTTTTCCCATTTTGCACTGATTAGTTATGAGGTAGTACATAACTTAATGTAGTCATTATCAGGAGTTAAGTGGTAGTTGGTTTTTTTGTTTAAGACAACCTAAAATAACTCCTTCACAGGTGAATAGGAAAACTAAGAAAAAAAAATCTATTCTTTTTTTCCTTAAGTGAAGCAAGTTTCCAGAAGTGTCAGTCACCATAGCTCCTTTTTTATTTTTCACAATAGAAAAGTAAGCTCTAGCAATTTCAAGAACAGTGAACACAGGGCAACCAAGGATTGTAGGGAAATGTTGAATTATGTTTTTTTCTTTTAATCCTTCACAGCACATAGTGTAGATTTCTGTTTTCCATAAAATGATTAAGTACTATTAGCAGTGACATGCAAAGTTCTAAACAAATTGAAGTGCTGTACTTTAGCATTACATTATATTGTTAATGCTGCACCAGTGCCAGAAGATTTTGATATCAGACAAGTAATTTGCTTGTCAAATGGCAAATATGACTCCATAATAATTCTTCTACTATCCATTTCTATCTTGGTCTAGCTTTTATTTTGCAATTTACTGACATTATCTACAAGTAGCTCAGGTGTTATCTACAAGTAGCTCAGAATAAGATATCAGCATGCTATCAGATTCCCACTAAAACCCCTCAACATGCTCTGTAAGATCACATTCTTAAGTACTGTGATATTTTAGGAAATCAGGATAAGAGGGAGAAAAAAATAAACCCATCCCAAAAATTTACAGGTGTTTTAACAGTTCCCTTAATGGTTCAGTGAGATAAGCCTGAAGATGGAACTCAGTATTTTCTGAAGCAGTTAAACTCCTGTGAAAATAGAAGATAATTTTATGCTTGTATGAATGTGACTACAAAAAAAAAGTGAAAACAATTCATCACAGTTCTGAAGTGTATTCTTCCATCCCTAATTTCTTACCCCCAAAATACTAAATTTAAGGCTGCATAAACATAATGATACAGTTGTTAACTGTACTTGCTATGAATTATGTAGGACCCTGTACCAAAGGTGTGTTGGATTGGTACTGCACTCTTAGTTTTAGTTTTTCATAGTTCCACATGTGCCAGCATGTGGTTTTGTTGTGATTTATTTATCTGTTTATTTTTATTTATGTCACTGAAATACCAATCTGAAGAGAAGGAAGCTTGATTTTCCTTGTGGGAAGGCAGATGTGGAACCTGTTGAAAGCCCCTGTGGTCCATGGCCAGTTGAGTTACAGTCGGTCATGTTACCTTTCTCTGGGAGAAGCAGAGATACCAAGCAACAAGATACCGACATACTTTTGCTGTAATGTCATTTATCATAAGGTGTCATTTCTCTCTCAAATTTTCTCTCCTTAATTCTGTCCTCTCTATACTTCTTAACTTCCCTCTCATTTCCTCAGTCACACACTAGCTTTTGTCTCCCATCCTTGTTCTTCTTTGTCTCGTTCTCCAAATCAGATATTGTAGACTACTTCATTTCTGCAACTGATCTTTCTTCTAGACTGGCATGGATTACATTTACATTTGAGACTGAACAGGCATTTTCAGATCTCAGCTCATCACCATCATCTTGAGCATCTTGTAGGATTAGGGGGGCAGTCCCTGTAAGAATGTTACTGTTACTGCCAGAACAAATCAGGAGTTAAGAAAGTGTCAAGGTTTAAGAGAAAGATATAGCAAACGGAACCGAATCCTATTTTTGTAGCACTGTGGCAGGACTTCCATATAAGCTGTTATTGGTTGGTCCTCAAACAAAACCTTTATTCTTGGTAGGCATCTGCATAAATGTTATTTCAAGTGCAATCTTTTTTTATTATTTATTTATGTATTTATTGTAATTATTAAGGATAATTTGTAAGCATGTGATAGCTTTACATTACAAACTAGACAGTCCCTTGCTTATTATGATTGTAACTTCTGGGAAGGAAGTGTGTGTGGGCAGGGATAATTCACAAATCTGGAGAAATTAGGAAATAGATACCCACAATGAAAAGATATCATGAGTGGCTTTATGGAAATTCCTGAAATAACAGATACAATATTATCATTTACAAAAAACTGCATTGCCAGAAACCCCAGAACTAGTAAAAAGGTACAGCTGGAAATTTGCTTAGTCACTTTCCAAACCTGAGATGTTCTAGGTTGTCAAACACTTGCAAAATACACAATTATCAAACTACTAATATTTATGCTGCTAATTACACTAACACGATTAATCATTTTGCTGCATATTTTAATAATGTTTTCATCAGAGTTCCTTCAGAACTGTATATTTGTGATGGTTTCTGCTGCAGAAAGTTACTTAAATAGATTTCTTGCTTCAGACTCCTAAGGGAATGATGTATGTGTGTAATTACCAAGTGTTCTTCTTTGGGACATTAATTAGAACCCAGTTAATATTTTTGATAAAGACAGAAGGTATGTTTTGGAAACAGAAATGCAGTATGTAAAAACTTGGTATTTATAGACTACTCTGTGCTAGCCCTTTTTATCTCATACTTGTTATTAGCTTGCATTTGCTGTTTGAGATGCAGCTAGGGTTTTGGCCAATGGTCTACTGTATTCAGTGCTCAGCAGTTCCATAAGTAAAGTGATGTGCATCTGCAGCAGTGAATGTTCTGTAGTTTATTCTTTTGGAAATGGATTTATAATCTGAATTAATAACTTGGGTCTGAAATGCCCATCCTGGCCCTGCAGCCAATGTTTGTGACATTCTTTGGTGGAGGGGGGCATGGGAAGGTGTGCCTAGAGCTAACAACTGAACAGTTTCTTTTTGGCCCTGATGTTTTAGGGGTCTGCTACCATGCCTTTCTAGAAGGGGATTTCCAGCCCCACGAACGACTGAACAGCCAGTCATTAGGGGAAAGCATCACGCTCGCTCCAGGTCGAGTGAGCACTCTAGTGTCAGAGCCTTATGCTCTGTACATCACCTTGCGCCCGGAGGCTCGGCGCCACCTTCTCCACTTCTGACAAGGTTGCTATTACATGTCCAGTTCAGCTTTCATGTTCTGCCTCCCAGGTGTCAGTGTGGTATTGTACTTTCCTGAGCATACATGGCGCATTCACTCATCCTGGCACTATAGATTATCCTCTCTTCATGGTATTTACACTTCCCCATATCCTTTATGCTGCCTATCTTCACCATCTAGATGGTACGAATTCTGTTGATCTTAAATAGTTATGCAATGTAAGAGTAAAAAATCAGCTGTGTTTTGTCCTTCCATTGTTGTGTTTTGTTCTGTATCCATCTGATAATTACTTAAGTATTTTGCTTCAACACTGTGCAGGAAATCACATCCTTTTCTGACTGCTAAATCTCACAGTCTTAAAGTCAGTTGATTTACATCATATGAAAGTTAAAATTATTTTGAACTTGTACAAGTGTGTTACTTAAAACTGCAAGTTATTATTACTTGCCCCTTAGCACAGTAGATAAACAGTGCATTTCTGCAGTAGTTAGTGTGATATTACTGTAGCTGACGAGGATGCTTAATTAACAAACTGTCCCTCTCAGCAATCTCCTTCTTCTCACCTTTGCTTTACTTCCTTTAACTTTTTCTCTAGTTATTACCAGTGGCCCTACCTATTACTAATGCAAACTTACAAGCATTCTAAAAGTGCCCACTATGTTAAAGGTACTCTATGTGTGTGTAAGAAGTCAAGTAGTCAGAGTGCTCTGAAACAGTGGTAGCTAGAATTCAGCCAAAGTTAAGGGGATTACAATATTTGCTTAGGTAAGAATACTGAAAATCTTATACATTGTTCAAGGAAAAACAACCCATTATGTCATGGCATTAGAAGCTTGCTGTCTAGTTCTGTGATCTTGTGCAATAGGGCATCATCATGAAGAGAACATGAAAGTCAATGAAATATAAAGGTGACATATTGTGCTGTCTTTGTACCAGTGCAGGAGAACAGTGATCATAAATGATTTGTAGAAAACTGCTTTTAGTTCAGTTTTTTGACTAGTACTTTCTCAAAACACCGTAAACCAGAAGGATAGAGAATTTTTCTCCTTAGATGGAAGGCAGTTAGAAAAGCTAAATGTGAAGCCATAGAAGTTTATTAGTTGTCCAATCCTGAATACATGCATATGGCATACATCAAATGCAAATTTTTTCAAACTCATCTTCTCTATTTGCAATTTAATTTGTGTCTGAAAACGAGAATATATAAATTCTCTTCCTATGGGTTATTTTATTTTATCTTCATTTCATCTGCAGAATACATCAACAAGGAAGTCCCACCCAGTCTCCTCCTGCAGACACATCCTTCAGCAGTCGCAGGGGAAGACAGCTACCGCAAGTTCCAGTAAGAAGTGGCAGTATAGAGCAAGGTATCAAATAATGAGCTTATGATGGCTCTAACTCTTTGCTTTCTTACTTTTCTTCGCTTTTCTTAAATTCTGCTTTCACAGCTACCTGTTAAAAGCTATAACTCTGCCAAATAGAAGAGAATGAAAGCATATTTGTAGTCTGGAAAGTCTAGTAGATTTTGAGTGGTGGATTATTATACACGGTTTAACTGCCTTAATTTTCTAGTAGCATTTTATATTTGTCTGCTTTAAAATTTCCATTAGAGTCATGGTAGTTTCCATGAACACATCTAGTTTGTATTCAGCCAAAGAAATCTGGAGCAAATATTTTGACAGTGTTATTCATTTCTTATTTTATGGTTTATTTTAATTGTTGTGTATTGTTTACATAGACTAATCATAAATGAAAATCACAACATGACAAATTCCTTTTGGAGTGGGACAGGTTCAGTGATTAAAGAATTAAAAGAATCAGTGCAAGAAATATCAAGGCACAGTTCATCAGCTCTTACATTATTAAGAATAAATTGATTGGACAAAGAGTGCTACTCTTTTTTGAAAATGATAGTGAAGACTCAGTGGCTGTGGAAGATGGTTTTTACAAACTAACATCAAATAGGTGTAAATATTGCTGCTGTCTTTTCTAGCTACGTATTACACGCACAGCTTGAACTATTACAGTAAAATCAAATGGCCATAAAATTGATTATAATTTCACAGTAGGTAATCTGTCTGCATTCAGGTTTTCTTTTGTGTTTAAAAGCCCATTTTTCTCATAAACAAGCAACAACTAAAGGTTTTCTTCTGTGTGAAAATGAAAGAAATGCTTCAGATAATTATGTTTTGTGCCTTATTGAACCTTATCGTGCCTTACTGAAGTTGGCAGATCTTTTTCTTAAATAGGTAATAGTGCTGTGACCTTTTAATCATTTTAGATTGCTGTGTTGTTTTTTTTTTTTGTATGATGTACAGTCACTTGCGTTAACATAGTCAGTTTGCATTAATTTTATTAGACTGAACTGTGATGGCATAGTACACCTTCAATTAACATACATTAAAATGTGTTCTTGTTTTATACATGTGTTTATTCTGAATGATTAAAATACTAATACAAATAGTTTTTTTTCGTTTAAAAGTTTACTTTTGAGACTTTTCATGGTGTTTCATAGTGAACTAAGAACTGTCCTTATTATAAACAAATTTCAATATACATTTACAATTTCTATTTCTACATATTACTAAGCGACAGCTTTTTAGGGAAGTGTAATGAAAGGTGCATTTCAAATTTCTTTCATGCTTCATCTGCAATTTCAGAACTTTGTACAATATACAATGACAATCCAGCTTTTAATTTATTTTGTTTTTCCTGTGGGTATTCGTCTGTTATCTTTCAGCTGTTCTTGGTAACTAGTGTGTTGGGAATAAAATGCTAGTTAATGTTTTGTTAAAAACTTTGGAAATGAATGTAGAACATGTTGTGAAACTAAGTAGAGAAGAGGTTGTATGGGGTTGTATTCAGAAGAGCAAACAAAAAGTGAACTTTAAACAGAAGGCAAAAGCTGCTGTTGGTTTTAAAAAACTGTCAGTGCCATGAATATCTGTAACACAATGCTGTTTCACTGAACTCTTATTCGTATTTGTGGTTCATATGCTTGCGCCATATGTAGAAAATAAACAAATAGGTTATTCACTTTGTTATATATCATATAGCGCCAATGTCAATATGGCAGTGGAATTGAAGGCTGAAGAGATTTTCTTCTTTACATAGTATTTTGATTTTGTCTGATCAGCTTGTCCATTTGAAAGGAAAATTTTCTGATATTGTCCATGTTTTACTACTGTTCGAACTGAGAGTGTATTTACAGGGAAATACTAAATTTGATAGATTTTATAAAATAGTTTTAAGTGTTTTGACAGTATCATCTGATATAAGTATATTAATATGCATAAACTTAACATTCTCTAGGCTAGTAGCTTCAGTAAAGCTATAAGAAATAATATTTGCTCTTATTTTCAGTATCAAATTCTGTTATCATTTCACCTCTTTAATTCCTGCCACATGAATATCAGATTTTGATGAGTGACTAGAAGTGAGTTGACTCTAGCTACAATTGAATCTCAATATATTTGTCCATGAAAGATTTTCATTAACTGTACTTTGAACTGAAATATGACTTAATTTAAGTTCGTAGTCACCATGGGTACAGAAAATGTCAAAATCCAGTGCAATCTATAAATGTTACAAGAAGTAATGTTTAAAAGTTCTTTGCATTTTCTTCATTTAAAAATAAAACTCCTTATTGGTGGTCAGTGTCGATATCCTGCATTTCAAGGAAATACAATGTGATGTACTGTAAAGTATCATTTTTGTAGTAAAGCGCTTTCTTACACTACACTTACACTATAATTTTGTTATGTTAGAAGGGTTGAAGATAGGTCATATCAATCTATATCTGTTTTGCAAATCACAGTAATTGTTATAGAAAGATTGAACGACTTGATATCAAGACTGTTTTGCTGTTGTAGGTTTTTTGTTGTTTTTTTTTGTTGTTGATGACTGTTTACATATTCAGGATGTATATAGGAATCCATTAGAGCAATTTCATTACTCTTTGAAATTCTCATTGTGGAAAATACAAGAGTTAACAAAGAAGCAATAGTGGCTGTGGTTTTCTTCTCAAGAAGGTGTGATATTTTATCTCTCAGTCTTCTGTCACAGATGATAACACACATGCTAATAAGGCTTCTCCTAAGACTAACGGTGAATCTTAGACATTCCATTCTTTCATTATCAATTTTAGAACTAAAAAATAATGGCTATTTCTTTGCTTCTATCAAGCGATATTGTCTTAGTTACTGCTTTGGTTTTAGAATTATAAACTGTCAACTTGTGACTTAATTCAGTAGGTTCTTCCCAGTAGATCTACTTCATAAGAGAAGAAAGTCTTGTAGGAAGACTAATCTTTCCCATTCTGTTTCTGTTAAAAATATGGTGCATGTACTACCAATCAGGAACGGGGAGAAAAAGTAGAAGAAAAAGTTCAGTAAAAGAATAATCTAATAACCTCAAAATAGCATAGTTGCACACGCACACACATACACACACACACACAAAAAAAACCAAACACAAAAGAACAATAAAACCAAGCTCTTTGGTGACTGTTCTTAAGGACATAGTACTTTGCCTAGTTTTGAAAAAATTAGAAATCATGTTGGTTATTTTCTCTTGGAAAAGTTCTACTTTAAATTTTTAGCCACGCCAATACATACAGATGTTTTAAAGAAGTTACAGTTAAGATTGTAGGCTCCTGTGTTTGTTAGAGAACATGACTTTTATTTTAATCACTGTGATATTCAAGGAGGGCATGGCAATATGTTTCTCCTTGCAACCCCATTAGCAGTAATTCCCACACTGGGTTGTTAATGCAACTAAAGATGTTGAGATGCTTGAATATGAAAGTTAAGTCTGATTTAGGCACGTCTGTTTGTGTTTTCTAAAAGTCACAATATAGTAGTATTTACCTTAACTTGTGCTGCAAGTGAAGCGTTACTTGTTCTTTGTTTTAACTGAAGTGATCTGATAATACAAAGATATTTTGTTACTAAAGCAATAAAATTCTAATCTGTGATATGGACAATCCTGTGCTCTCCATATATTATCTTTTGCCAAGTTACAAGAGAGTTGCATCAGTGTTTATTTGCATCATGTTTGAATAGAACTGTGCAAATCACTTAAGGAAGCTAAAAGGGGTGGGATTCTTCACTGACTTTTTTGAACAACAAATCTATTGTATAGTTGCATGGCTTTTAAATGGCACTTTTGTATAAAGTATATTTCTGTGATCTTTACTCAGTCCATATTATCTCACACCAACTCTCAGATCTCATCATGATTTTCACTTGAATAGGGTGGGTCTCTACACTTCTGCATAACAATTAATTACTAATAAAGCCTGAAGCTCTGCATGACTTGTTTACACTCCTTTTTAGCAATGGTAGATACTGTTAGGAAATGGAACAAGTGAAGAAAAAACATGTTGTGTACTATTGAAATCTTTGAACCAATAAGATAAATGCGTGATGATGGTTTGCAGTATAAAAATGAGCTAATTCGAGGAAAGCAGGTCTTTTTCCACGTGTCTGCTTCTGTTTGACGCCTCACAGCTTGGTTTTGCTTTCCTAGCTTCAACGGTGTGGTTTCATGTTTCAAAAATCATAATGGTAAGAAGGACTGCAATAATCAGCAGCCTATTTACATACAAAGAGTACCAATAAACATAACCGAATTAGAGTGTTTATATGTTTCCAATGGCAGGTATTTACAGAAGTAAGCCTTATGCAGTGATCATTAGAAAAATGAAACTCTGACCAGCATGAGGTATTGCTGTATCTTGGCTTATGTCAGAAAAAGCTGCATAGCTCTTCTGTATGCAGGTGGAAGTGCGTGTGCGTGTGTGTGTGTGTGCGCGCAGCTGTTTCATGAAGGAAAGTCAAACTGAAATCTCTGTTGGTAATGAATGGGAGTCGCTTTTATGAAGTTCATGTCTATAATATATACATAAAGTATGTGTTCAAAACTTCAACGGTAGTCGCAACATCCACGAATGAAATGTTTCAATATCCTGTGTCCTGTGTTCCTTTTAGCAAACAGGAATCGTAACTACATATGGAAAATTAGCATGTTGAGAAATAACGGATTGGAGTTGCAAGTATCTTTGTATATTTAATTAAGATCCTTAAAAAAAAAGGAAAACACCAGTTTCATGTGTAAGTGAAATGAAATGTAATTGCAGTGAGAGTCTGGCTTGAGTGATGGTAAAAGATCACATGCTTGCAGTTAAGACCCTGTCTTAGATCCATCATTGACTGGAAGAAGAAGTGATTTCAATTTTAGATTTTAGTCTTCTAGCACTGTTTGTTTTGTCTTCATATTTCTGGTTTTATTTTGAAATCCTTAGGTGACACTGCATATTTTGAGGCAGCTTGTGGAATCTTTACTCACATGGGAGAGTATTTTCTCT